CTTTTTTATTTGATAAGTACATATCAGTTTGATGTTATTGATATATTACTGGTTGTTTTGCAGGGAACAAATGAAATCCTGCGAATGTATATTGCTCTGACGGGTATGCAGCATGCAGGCAGAATCTTAACTGACAAAATTAAGTATGTTCTTCTTATTTATTGCTAATAGTTTTTAATGAAGTAAACAGTGATAATTTTAACTGTATCTAAGGGGGAAATGGTTGGAAAAAAACTGCATTTCTTATTAAGTTCTCTGAAGGGCAGTTCAATATATAGGGGTCTGTTTTTTTTTCTTTTTAGTTGGCATTATTTTATATATTTAGGAATCTTTGATGACTGTATGTTACCTTATATTTCCAGCTTGTGTACAATTATAAGACCAGTAATTAAAACAACTTAAGATTTTATACCAACGTGTTATTTGTAAGACAGTGCATACACAGACTGATGTCTGCAACTCATTGTATTGACACGAGGAACGGGCCATGCTGAGTGCTTTTAAGGCTGTGTGGTTCTCTGGACTTGATAGTAAAATGGATTCAAAAGATGAAAACACTGCAGATAACTAATAATGCATTTATCCTGAAACTTCCCTTGCAAACCAGCAAATGCATTTCAGCAGCTGTTTTTTACTCAACATTTTAGAGAAATCAAGAAAGGAAACATAGGATTGGCACTGCAGGAGTTGGTAAACAAAGTAAGAGACTCAACGGGCAGAAAAGTGGATTATGGGATAATGGAAGAACGAGGTGGATTGGTGCATCCCAGCCTCCAGGTAAGAGCCAGGCATTGCTCTTCTATGTTTGATTCCCTTGGAGGCTTGTCACAACTTTGTGTCTGTTGATGCAGAATGAAGTATGATTAGGAAGGGGGAGATGTACAAATCTAAGCAGGTGTTTGTATTATTTCAGAGGTAAGTCCCCATGTTACAATTCTGTGCTTGCAACAAATCCAGGTTTATATCAATTTCAAGTAATATCTACAAACTGCTCTACGTAATATGCTCAACTATATAACACATTATTTTCCTGTTTAATGGTAATGTGGTTGTAACTATGAATTTTGGTGATCTATGGACACACTTGCTTCATCACTTAATTCTTAGGGCCAAGAAGAAAAAAGGTGTTGGTGGTTTTTTGTTTTGTTTTTAAAGTTGTTAATAGGAAAGGAAAAATTATGATATGTTCATCCTATGGTGTTTTGTAATGATCTGAGATGTGTAATGAAATCATTTTTGTCAGCATTTGTGGCCCCAGGTCAGCTGTGTCAGGCACACATGTAAGAGCATTTGCTAATCCTGTGCTGTGCACATGGCCCTGCTTTCACCTCAGATAAACACACTGTGTGTCCTGCAGTGCCACCAGTGTACGTGGGTGGCTTGTGTTAACAGCAGTGATGCCGACCTACCTTGTGCACTGGGTGGGAGCACCTCTAATACCTCAAACATGAAGACCATAGCCATAGAATCATAGAATTAGCAATTGCATTCAAGAATTAATAAAAGCCAAACGTGGCACTGGAAACTCTCCTTCCTCCTTACCAGCAAAGTTTGAAAACATGGGCAATAGCACACAATACTGACTTCCAGGGGTTTTGTAGCATTCAGTACGTAAAATATGAATCGGGTTTGTTGGGCAGAAGGTGCACAGACATTTTTCAAACTATTATTTGTGTAAGCATAAAGAAGACTACACTGAAAAGTTATATCAGAAGTTATACAGAAAAGTAAAATCAAACTGCTTAATGCTTATCTTATTGCTAAAGAAATGTGCTTTAACTGGCTTTTAACTGAGTGTTAAGAACACAGTAGTTGGCAAGAGAAAAATTTAACAGATAAAAGGAATACAACTGTGCAGTAGTTTTCCACTCTGTGGTTTATAATCCCATTAAGTACACAGGCCAAGTCTCTATCCTTGATAGCTGGGGAAATGTAAAACGCTGAAGTCTTAAAAGGGAATTATTTTCGTTGACTAGAAGTGGCACACACAAATCCCAGCATGTTGGTTATCCAAGCATCCCATTTCTGGTAAAGACTTCTGCTGTAGGTTTCATTTACCTTTGGAGAATGTTCAAATTGTTTAAATGTACTCAATATTTTAAGTATGTATTTGTCTGTTTTGTATTTTAGGAGAGTGGCAAGAAACTTGAGGAAAACGTTTATTATTTTGGAACTACAGTGAGAGGCCTACTCACGAGGTTTGGCAAGGTAACAACAATATCATGTTGAGTTTTATCTTTGAACTTTTCCTCAACTGGTCTCACTGCAATCTAGAGTGGACAGTGTATGGCTAGAGCCAGGATTTCCTTTGCACAACTGATAGCTGTTGACTGAGAAAACATTCGCCAACTCTATACTAACTTGATGTAACAAACAACTTTAACTTACTTAAGCAATCACTGGGATCAGGTTAATGTGTCCTTATATTCCTGTAAGCACAAATCCTGCTTGTGGCTGTGGCTATTCTAAGTATGCTGCTGTAAGCAGGCACTGGAATCCATTTCCCAAAAGAAGAGCTGTACCAGCATGCTTTCTGTTATGGTTATTCATTCATGCTATACAGCAAACACAGAATTACACCATGCAAAGCAGCTTAGCTAAAATGGGAGCTACAGCTACCCCAGATTTATGAGTTCTGAGCATGCTTATTAGACTACCCCACTCAGCATTAACAAATGTGTTTGTGTGTTGTTTGGGGGTAGATAGAAATTCAAGTGCCAAAAACCCCTCTGTGATTTAGCATTTACCAAAGTAGTTTCTGGCTGCAGCCAGGAAGTCTGGAAAAGGTGGAGCATATTTAATCACAGGAGTGGAAATTCAGTGTAATAACTTACCTGTCTATGCTCTAAATAAGCACGAACATAAATACAAAGTATGGAAAAGAGCAATCTGACCGAAGCCTATAACCTGATCATTTTTATTCTTCTAGACAATAGTGGATGAGCAGTTGGCTCTGAAGAGAGTGTCAGATATTTGTATTAATTTGTATGCCATGACAGCAGCTATTTCCAGAGCAAGCCGGTCCATCAGCATTGGCCTAAGAAACCACGACCATGATGTAAGTGTGCTTCAGTATCAGTCACAGCCATCTAACATCTGTGCCCAGGGGCGTCCCTAACACAGCAGTGATTAGGATCATTCTGTCTAGTTGCATGTTGTATGAGTAAGGTGCACTATATTTATGCTTAGACCTTTCCTTGAGATGTTAACCTGGATAACTTGTACAAGTCTCTACCGAGCTGCTTTTTCCTCGACTGGCCAACTTCCCCTCCCCTCTGAAATACAGCCATTGCGTTCTTTGCCTCACAAGGTGATGCGGTTCTAAAAAGCGTGCTGAGCTATCACACATTGCATGCTTATGTCTCACACTGGCTAAAACCTCAGTGACAAATAGTTTTCATTACACCAAAGCTACACTCTGCGTTTGTTAAGGATGTGCATCTACTGCAGCAAACTCAAATGAAACTGCGCCGATTTGTTTCTCAACTGATTCACGCCTGGGTACAGCAACCACCCCACTTACCTCTCCAGTTCTCTGAGCACACAAGCTGCCATATTATCCATATCCTTTGACCTACATACACTTAAGAATGAATTAGGACTTTACATGCTCTCTTAACCCTTCTAGCATCATGCTGTTCTTCCCAAATTCTTTCCACATTATCAACTATTAAAAATTATTACAACTTTTTCTTACTAAATGTCTCGACAGTAAAATGAGAGACTTTGACACATTGGAGATGATAGTGCAGCTCATGTAAGGTTTCATAGTTACAATTATGCTGCATAGCAATTAAGTTTGCTTCAGTTAATTGTGAGACAAATCCAAATGGATGAATTTCAGTGGTCCTGAGATTTCAGATCTTGTGTGCAAGTCCTGCTGAACTTAGTAACACCAATGTCTTCCAGTCAGTATCCAGTGAGGGGGCCATCCCAGCACTGTGATGGAGTAGCTGTGGGAAATAAATAACTGAGCTTGCAGCATACACCACTCTTACAGGGCTCCTTATCTAAGACACACTACACATTCAGCAACTTAAAGTACTGTATTTTTCCTGCATTGTTTTGTTTATGAAATTAAAACTTAAAAACTACTAAATTAATACTCTATTTTGCAGGTGCTTCTTACAAATATCTTCTGCAGCGAAGCATATTTCAAGAATAATTATGCCATGGCTCAACTGCAAAAATGTAAGCTTTATAAAATGTATTTTGTACTCAGTGGCTGTCGCAGTTTCTCAACTAAAATAGGTATTTTTGATATAACCAATAGAACAGTTCTGCTCTGCCTTTAATTAGGATGAGGAGCAGAACTGGTGAGTGGAACAGTCTCTCCTCTTATAGATGAATCCAGTTTTGGGATAAACTATTTTTTCAGCTGTGGTGAAGAAGAATTATTAGTAACAAATACTCCTGTGAAGAAAATATTAAGTAACAATTGGGTATGACTTGTTCATCTGGATACTAACCAACTGGGGATTTGCTTTGGGAATGACTCAATCAGCCATAATCAGAATCGTTTTAGAATTTTCCTACCAGTGATGTTCAGACACTTAAATTTGTGTTCTGCAATCCTTTCTGAAAGAAATTTAGAACAACAGCTCTTTTGCTTTTCCATAGATGCAGATGAAAATCTGGATGACTACATTAAAAAGGCTGCAAAACAGGTACTGGAAAAGAGAGCTTATATCTGTTCACACCCACTGGACAGGACATTCTAATTACTTCATTGACAGCTAATATTGATGAATGTAACACAAACAGCAACTATTTTTCTCCAGTTCAAGTATTTGACACCTTAAAAACAACTGTTTCATGAGTTTACAAAATGTAATTAGCTGTATCTGTAAAATAAGACTAAAACCAACTTCATTCATATAAAGAGGATGAAGAAAGAAATTACTGTACTCTTCAAGTTTTATTTTTAGAGATATGTCTGTTATCTTTGATGCCAAATAAAAATCAATTGACATCCAGACTGAGTTATGTTTTCCCAGGAAGAGGATGTGGTTCTTTAAGCTTAAATCCATGACTTACGGGCCTTCAGAGAAGCACTGAAAGACTTGAAGGATGAGGACCCTTTAGTTTGGAAAGGACCTCAGGAGCTGATTTTGTTCAAAGCACTGTGGCCAGCAGGGCCAACTACAATTGTCATTGCCTTGTCCAGGATGGTGATGTCACGGACAACAGAATTTTCATGAACATTATTCAGATATGATGACAAGGTACACATTTACTCTCCTGGGAACCCCAAATATAATCTAGTTACCCATCAGCTCAGCACATCACTTCTGTCCTGTGACACATTCTCTGTACTCACTGAGTTACCTGCATCCAGAATATCATTCTGGAGAGGGTCTTTCCATTGTGTACAGGTAGTAGTGCTTCTGCTTGCTGCTTGCTCACTCTTGTAAACTGATTGTTTAGAGCCAAGTAAACTGGAACAAAAAAAAGTACTCTCTTTGATCCACAAGTTTTTGAAAGAATAATTGCAACACCATTGTATTAAGAGGCTTACTAATTGCTACTGAACCTGTTAAATGAGCTTGCTACACATATCAATTACTGCGACCACATGACTTCATTCTTGTTACTCAGCTTTTAAGTCGACTGCTCAACCGACTAGAATATCAGGTTAGACATAACAGCTAATAAATCATTCCACAAATTGAAAAGGCTGAAACCTGACCGTGTTAGGCATGACTTAGGACAAGTATGGCATTCTGGAAGAGTACAGTTCTGCATGGACGGAACAAGGAAATGAAAGATGAATATCTCTGAGTTCTCTGAGTGTTTGATTGTGAAATTAAGAACAAATATTGTTCTCCACAATAAATAGTAGTGCATCTATTAAGCCACTTCACATTCCATATTTTAGGTGAGATGGATGAACAACTAAAAGAAGCTTCTTGCTAATGCTAGGTGTGCTGTCTCATGAGGTCATTTAGAAAGTTCGAACATCATGAAATTTCTTCAGATTTCTAGGAGTCTAATTAAAACTGGAAAGGTAAAACTGTTCTGCAGTAACAGACAACATAAGATGAAACACAGCTGAATTGCCAGTGCCTCTGAGGGTACTGTGGAGAACCCAATTCTGTGACTGTAGGTAACACACAGTGACACAGGGCAAATGATTACCAATGGCAATCCCAGTTCCTTAATTTCATGGTTAAGGATTGAAAAGACAGCCTCCCAGGAACACCACAACCTGTCCCCTACATAACTGATTTAGAGACACTCAAAAAAACCGATCAACCTCGTAATTCATTATTACAGCCTGCACCCTGTAACTCCTGACAAATACCACAGAACCACTTCTGGGAGCCATTTCCAGCCATTAGGTTACCTTACTTGAAATCTGCGCCTTTTGTTTTCAAACTTCTTATGCTCTCTGTTGTGACAGGGAATAATAATGTTCTCGTTCCACTTCAGGCTGTGGCAGTGTTGAAGGCCTGGTACAAAGCCACTACAAACACTCTTCTTTCTTGGCAGGACATCTGAGCTGTTCTGTAACACTGACAGGGCTGGGATAGGCTAGGACAAGAAAACACGCTTTGTTCTGGGAAGCTTCTCTCCTCTTTCTTCTTGCCCTCTACCTCCATGCTTGTTTCTCACAAAGTAGACTACTGGTAGGTACTGCAAACTCACAAATGAGGCAAAAATTTTGTGACAGAATTATCTTCCTACGGGCTTCAGCAGGAAGCCTTGAAATATTTTTAACAGACCATTGTAGCCCAAGTGAAGTGAAGTCTGACAGTCAAGCAGAACATCACAAAGCACAAGCTACAAGTTATATAATAAATTAATACTATTAGCTGCATCGAATCTAGCCAAAAAAAAAAAAAAAACAACAAACCAAACCTGTGTATTAAAAGTACAGAAAACAAGTACAGTCCAAGGTGGATAAGTCTAATAGTTTGAGGAGCTAAATCAAAACAGAACGCAGAGCACAAAGTAGCATTCATTTCAAAGTCTGACATTAAACTAAGGATAGGCATTTTGCTGCTATACATCCATTTAAAGCAAGAACTGGTGCTTAGAATATTATCTTTGAAAGGGCGGAGAGGGTGGGGAAAGGGTGTAGACTCCCAAGCTGCAGCTCTGCTTTTATTATTAGCATTTTCATAATTCCTGTATTTGTTTTTCTAGAGCATTTGTAGCCAACAGATTTCATTTCATTCCCTTTGATCTAAATCAGCTTTAAAAGCAAGCTGTGCTAGGGCCATTCACACGCAAGCACTGACTGTGCTTCAGCCAACGAAAGGACAGTTAGATGCAGGCCACCCATGCGGCTTTTCATATTAATGAGCACAGATCCTTTTGTCTTCCAAAACTGAGGTGCCTGCATCCGATTTTTGCACCAACAGGCTGACAGGCAATGCTCAGAAAGCCTATAGAGCACTACAGCAACCGAGCACAAGGTTACACACTCGGCATGCAGCCAATACAAGTCCCTCGACCCCCAGATTTCATTAGGGAACAGTACAATCCCTTTTAAAGCTGGGAAGCCAGCTGGCCAAAAATCATTCTTCCTTTCTCATCCCTTGCAACAGGCAACTTAACTGAAATCCTCCCCCATACTCCATTGTCTCTGACCACCAAAGCAAAGTAGTAGTAAGAATAATTTTGTGCCTTTTTTCTTTTTTTTTTTTTTAAAGACCTTCGTAAGTTTAAGCATCAACCTAACACATATTTTTACTTCAGAAAGTGTTCTGCTCCATTAGCTGTCATTATCTGCCTGCCATAAAGTACATGGCTGGTGTTGCTGTACAAAGGTAGGTGCCAAGATCAGCACCCAGAGATAGCAGTTATCCTTTACCTGCAGAACTAGTCCTGGCTTCCTGAGTGAGAATTTCTGAGGCTCATCTTTCAGAAGCCCTTGCAGCTTCTGTAGCTGAGAACTGGCTCCTGGCCCACGTGTGCGTAACTCAGCTGCTGCGGAGCACCGGTGAACTTTCAGCTTGGTATCATCAAATGCATTTTGCACAAAACGAGTAGCAGCTTCACGCAGTCAAAATACATTGAAGAGAGAGAAAAAAAAGGCACAAACAGAATGTTTGTAGATGGAAAAGATAGACTTTTGACTTAGAAAAGGGGTGCTTAAAAGCCTGCTATTGCAGTGAACATCATTTTTCATAAGGAATCAAAGAACAAATCGTATTGGTGCTAGAATAATGGCTGGTGCCTCACAGCAAAGACAATCCGTAGTCCTGCAGACTCTGTGAACGAATTAGTTAATCCTGTCTACTTCCAGAAGCATTTTTCTGTATGAAGCAATGGAGAAGAACTGCACTACTCACGTGTTTTACAATTTACAGGGTAACGTGGCAGCAGAAAAGTTGTAAAAGACAATTTCAGTAACCATGAGACATCTATTATTTTCTACCATTGAACATGCCACTGAGTCTTACTGGGTTCTGAGCAAAGAGAAACACACAGCAAACTTGTCAAGTTACTGTATCATAATTAAATGCAGCCTTTTCTTTCACTGTTAGTGGGAGAACGTGGACACTGACCAGCTCACCAGGGCACGCATTACAGGCTGCTGTAACAACAGCACAGGCATTTAACCAGCTCATCTTGGGGCCCCTCTGAATTCAGCTGCTGGTATTACTTGCAGACTGTGATGCAGCTCTTTGTCTGACCTCAGTAGCAACAACAGCTGATTGATCATTACCGACCCATATGAAGAAAGAACAGGCAGCCACCAGGACTAGCTTTACAGAAGAGTATACCAAGAAGGCTATATAGCTTCCTGTCATACTGCAGGCAAAGAAACTAAAGCTAAGAAGTTAAGGAAGTGGAGGGGTAAGACTGGAGTATGGTCAAGGTCTTTCTTACATCCTCTAATGCTTCATATGCTCAAGTGTGAACAGTTTTGCTGTCCATTAATGTCCTTGATAAGCCTCTTTACATTTACATTCACTTCCCTTGATAGCAGAACTGAGCAAGCTTCAGGACCTGTATATCAGAGCATCAAGTTAAAAGCTTCGTTAGTAGCTAATTAACACCACCTTACCTGACAGTGAGGCTGTTGTCAGGGGGGGTTCAGGTGGCTTCTTGTAGAGCTCGAAGTCAACATGCCGTTTGTCCCAGCTCCATCTGCCCCGTGGCAGCACCGGCTCCATGTTAGCATACAGAGCATTCTCCTGCCATTTCTAAAATAAATTTGAACCCCTTTAAGAAACCTGCTGTTCCTTTTGCTGCTCCTTTTTCAGCTTGCCCAGTTCTTTATCATGTACTGCTTAGCTGCCTTCCTCTCCGCTGCCTTCAACAAAAGGCAACAGAAATGATACTGCACTAACTTGCTTCTGTTACTCTTGAGTAGTTAATCTTCTCTCCCTTCTAGAGAAAGTTCATTCTCCAACATGATGGACTAGAAGAAAGCACCTTCTTTGCACTACTTCAGTTATACTCTAACCTTTCTGAGAAACTACTTAAATTTGTAGAGGAAAAAAATTAAATAAAATCTGCAAATGAACTGAACACGTACACATGCTTGAAAGAGAGTTTTTGCAAGGTAACCCCCCGAGCACTCAGCCTGTTCCACTCTATGCTGTGACTGCGTTCAGTAAATTTTGCAAAACTTATTGATCCTGCACAAAAAAAAAAACCAACCAATAATTTGTTCTGTTCCCTTTATTTCCTTAGCTTGCCAATTCTAAAAACATACAAATCATCTAATAGTAGACCTAATTGCAGACCACATGTGCTTAGGTGACAATGCTGAAGACTATTCAAAATGGGGAAGAGTAAGCTAGTCCAGCTGACAGCCAGTAAAAAGGCAGAAAACAAGAAGTAAAGAATAAACAGAAGAATGGGAGGACACAGAGCAGCAAGAAACCCATAGAGAAACTGATTAGAAAACTTCTAATAAAACTGGAACTACAAGGCACAAATAAAAGGTGGAGGGAAAATAACTAGTGAGGGAATTTGGATAGATAAAGGAAGGCTACAATTAACTTGGCAGCTCACGAAGAACAGCCTGAAATCCATCCACCATGCAATGCAACATTAGTGGTTTTTTTGTTTTTGTTTTTATTCTATACCCTTGCTTTTACATGTAAAACAAAACATGATGCACTCCACTGGTAATACTGGCCAACAGGTTTTCTGTATGCATCAAGAGCACAGTTTGCATATCCAAACAAAGCACAGCCTGGGAGAGCTGGGCTCTGATATACACCGATTGCAAATTCAGATGTATCCCCAGATGGCTTGCCTGGGCTGTACTCCACAAGGCAGAATTCCACATGCTAAAGCAGTCATCCTCTTTTAAGTCTCCTAAAATGCTTCTGTTCCCTTGGCTCATTTAAGTACTCTGTTACCTCTTGTAACTCCTCCACACGTGCCTCATCAGGCATCTGAGGGTGCAGGTTGCTTTCAATGCTGCTCTTAAGCCCAGGAAATACAAATCCATCTGGCGACAGCCACATACTCCTGGATTTTGCAAAGGACTCCTTACAGGCAGTAACCACATCAACTGGGTCAAACATGGCTGAAAGGTACTCGTGACAGTAAGTGAACCTTGTTTTTGGCTCCTACAAAAATAAACAAATCAGTAAATGGTAATGTGAAGTTCCCTTTGGTGGGAGAGGAAAACAATCAAAAGTGCAGAAGCAGGAACATTTCTTAAGGCTTGAAGTAATCGTAGATAAGAATTATATAGAGAAAAGAACTGTCATTAAGCAATCAAAAAACTGCTTTTGAATTTCACATTACATTATGATCCAAGGATGGAAGACAAATCTTTAATATTATTTACTTTTGATTATAAAAAGGTAACTTTAGGTTATATTGTGTTCATGGGTATCTTATCAACACTTTTCACAGAGCTCATCTCCAGTGGATAGGAAAACATTTGTTATTTAGATTGAAGCCAGCAATTCTGAGAACAGCAGATAAATGAGATTCTTCAAGTATGCTCACAAATGCCTTCTTCAGATCACTTTATACCATATCAGCATTGCAATCCCTCAAATTTCACTGCTTACAGATGTGTGGAACTCAGAATTGTGACCTCTAGGATACCAAAGTCCACCGTCAAACTCAGAGCCCAAATCATGAAGAGGAGACAACTTGACTACAATGCACAACAATAAGAATTTTACACACCAAGGATTCCCTTCCAATCCTATGTACTAATATGTAACTAATGTGCTAATATGGAAGTCATCCTGTGGGCCTATTTAATTTCTTCTCTTTGTTAGCCCTACGCACAGCAATCCAAGGTCTTCCATTTTTGTGCCTCAGCTTACCTTTGCCATTTCCCGGCGAAGATGCTCCTTTGCAAGTTCTGCAGAATTCAGGCTCTGAGAGCTATAATTGTAAACAGATTTGCCATCAGCAGGAGAAATTCTGAAAGCTTCAAACTTCAGCTTCTTCATCTTTCCTTTAAGCTGGCACACAGCATCAATGTTAGCCTGCTAGGAGAGATTCTGCATGAATTCCATCTGAATTGGAAATCTAGAGTGCTACAAAAATATTTCAAACTGTAAACTGTATACTGTAAACATTATACTGATACTGTAAACATTAAAAAGCTTTCAGAAGATGCTCAAGTAGAAAGAAGTATTTACATACAAAGAGCACAACAGTTCTTCATTAATAAGACTCTCCACAAGAGAACTGTATTTTTTGTACAGCTTAGCCCCTCATTTTGTCCCAGCAAATGACACACTGAGACAGAGGCAGTGCACTGGAGGCAGGGACTCAGCAGAGAATGGCTTCTGCTTATAGACAAATCAGTGTTCTGGAGAGCTGATGCCGGTCTTCATCAAATGAAATAAGATTAGTTTTTTCATTTGCATCATTCCATTAAAACCCCAGCAATTGCAGTTACATACATGAGCAACGATATTAATTATGACTCCTCAAATTTCTCTGCTGACACAGCGTAGTTAAACCCTCACATCTTTTGCCTTACTTGCCAACACCATCGAACTTTGCTTATGGAAATTAAGGCTTTGAATTCAGACTGCCACAACAGGTAACTGCAGCAAAAGAGCAACACTGCATTTTGGATATCACTTCCCTTTAATGTTTAAAACTCCCTAACACACTCAAGTTTCTCAACTCAAAAGATATATTTATTTTAATCAAACCTGTTATTTAAAAATAATTATTTTTCTTTTTTTAAATCTACAAGGGACTTCAGTCCCTCTATTGTCCTCTTGATTCAAAGCATTTATAAAATAAGAGCTGTTTGAAGCACGTATACTCAGAAGACTGCAAACTTCAAACGAACAAAAAAATGACCCCACACTTAATCTATACAGAAAGTTTAGACCAAAGACTGCTGCTGCTTGCATCCTCTTATGTTGTTACAAACAACTACCAGGAACTTAATATGTTAAGTTAATATGATGTTACTTAAGATTGTTTTCTCTTGTAGCCTCATCAAACACCTCTCTAGCAGCAAACTACAATTGGAAATACTTAGAAATTCAACGTTGTTCAATAATTCCAAGGCAGTACCCCTACACAGGAACGCAGCTTTTAACATCAGGGACAACTTCCTTGTGTTAAAACCAGTCCAAACTAGCCTTCACAAACCATGGGATGGTGAGAGTCCTCAGCTAAGAAATGTGCTCAAAAAACACTTCAGACTCCCCAGAAACACGTGTGGTATCTCTGCTCGAATGTCTACCTGAACAGAAAGGTTTTCAATTCTAATGTTTGCCCCGAGACAACAGAAGGGGCAGATGGCAGCCTGGAACAAACCAGAAGAGTAATAAAATTATTCCAGGTTTTTGTTTTTGTTTTGTTTTTTACTTAAAAGATCTGCTTTCAACTGCTGATTTGATTTGGCTAACCATTCTGGCTGTCTAAACAAGTACTTTGCAGGGCAAGAGAAAGCAGCACAAATTTTACATGGGCTTTGTTGGCCTGGCCCCACAAAGCACTGTGTAACTGGTTGATGTGGGGGTGCTATGAAGAAGAACAAAAATAGGAACCAACCCCAAGAAGAAATTGGCAAATCCTTTAAATAATCCATCAGTTTTCTTTCCACTCATACAGCACCTCCTCTATTTGCTTGCAAGCAAATTTGCTTTTTTCCACCTTAAAAAACAGTTGCCTCTGCAAAATAAAACCACCCTACACTTTAGTAATGTTTGTACAACACTTACAAACACATTAGGCTTAAAAACTTTTCTAAGGTTTCAGAAGAAGGGGGTGTTAATCAAGATATGAAGTGACACAGCTATAAGGCGTGCCTCTTTCACATAGCAAACAACTCACCCTAACATGGTTTCTCTCAAAAGACTTTTTGTCTGCTACTTCCTTCTTCCACTGCACGTATTTTTCACTGTAGTCATCTAATGAAGAATATCCTGTCTTTTTCTCTCTGCTAACATCTCCTGGTGGCGCATAGTCAGAGGAAAATGAGAGTAAAGGAGGCTTCTGAGTGAAGAGATCCTCATCAGTTAATGGAGCTCCATACTCTCGACTCAATGCTGTGATCATTTCTGCCGAGGGCAGCAGCTCCCCCTGAATAACATCCCTCAACCTCTTACTGTGACAGAGGTAACTGAGCCTACAAGCAGATATCAACAGTTCATTAGTTTACAAAAACTTTACGGCAATCAGAGCATCACCACTAAAATTACTGGGGAAAGAACTACACAACTTTATCTATTTATTAACAAGTTCAGGTCAGCTCAGATGTGTGGGTATTTGGCAGTGATACAGAAGGACAGCAGTTCATTACAACTATTAGGAATAGCCTAGGAATGTCATTGGCATTAGAATTAGATATAAGATCAGTTACTAGCTAATGAATTCCTATTCCCTGGCTGGTGGGCCAATAAAGGAAACTTCCTTCATGCACGTTGGTTCCAGTGCATGACTCATATTTTTGCCAAATTTCACTAAAATCACCTCTGCTTCACTTTTATTTTACTTGTTTTGATCAACTTTTATCCTATGAGCTACTTGTGACAAATAAAGACATGCACAGAATATTTTTCATGGTTTTATAAGTTATATTGATAATTTATGCACATGCAGCTTTATCCACTTCTTTTTTTGATCCCCCTTAGAAGTTGTCAAGATGCTTTAAGACTAACAGCTGCTGCACGCAGACAAAGTGAGCTAACTGACAGACTCAGCAATAAATCACATAAAAGAACTTTAAAGAAAAAGCTATGGAAAGGAAACAGTGTCTCCCCAACTCATGAAGAACCCTTCCTTCTTACAGTTACCTCAGGAAAACTGTTAATGAAATTTCCTGCTTAGTTCAAGGGACTTTCTGATTCTAACAAGTCCTTCTCCTTTACTCACTTCTAAATCATCTCTCCAAGAGAACAGAGCAGAGAAATAAATCCTTCCTAGCTGATGCTTCTGACACCCGAATTCTCTTTCTTCTATTTGTATTACATTCAGTCATGTTCCAACATACTACCCTACTGATACAGTTCTCTTCTTTAAAATAAAAAATTATGAATTTCTGCCCACAGAAGTGAGCTCACCAATTTCCAGTTACCATTACATCAGTAGTTAGTAAAACATGCTTGCCTGTAAGTCATCTGAAACCTGAACCACTCATCACGCCCACAGATTGCTTTCATCGTGGAAAAGATGAAGGAATATTACTTTTGATATCAAATATTCACTCTTCCATCATAATAATTCTTTATTTCTTGACTACAAATTTAGAAGAGTCATACCTGGACAAGGCTTGGAAACATGCCCAAGGAACTGCTCCTCTGACATAAAGCAGAGGCTGTTTTGCTATACTGAAGAGGGGCTTACAGAGGTGGAAATGATAAAAGATTGCTTCCAGGTCTGTATACAGGCGCTGACTGAAAGACAGCTGTGAATCATACAGTATTTCCAGTTGTCCATCTTCACGTCTGTAAGCTCTGTAACAGAGCGTGCCAACGACAAGGTTAGAGCCATCAGCCCAGATCTCAGGTTTCCTCAGTTCTGCCATACAATTACTATCTCTCATTAAACCAACTGCCTTTTGTCCTTCAAATGGAATGTCTTATTCCACAGCCTTCACTTCACATGAACTGTTCTGAAAAAGTGATTATGGACAAAGAAAGAAAACATCAAAACCTTTATGTCATGAATGAGTTGAACAGATTTTCTTTTTAAACCACATTGCAGTCATCTCAAAAGCAGCTCACCTCAGTTTCATCTGTGTGCTTAATGGCCCTACTCAAGAGCTCTCTCTAAATATTTCTCCTAATATACAAAAATTCATACTGCAGCAGTAAAACAAAGCTTCAATCGAAGCTATGGGTTACCTCTAACAAGAGATGACTTCTCATGTAACAAATAATTTCAGCAAGCACAATGAAGCAACTTGCACAAAAAAAAAAAAGCTTCAATAACATTATAGCAATGAAAAAAAGAAAGATTATTTTTTAAACTTGAAATTTGAGGGAAACTTTAGTTTTGCATTTGTCATACTTCCCTCCTAAGTATGAAGGAAAAATACAGGTTGGGCTCCAGCTTCCTCACAGCTTTTAGATCCCACTGGGTATTAGCAAACAATGACTCACATGACAGATCACATGCCAGGGTGTCCCATGGCCAAATTCAACTGGGAGCACAGTTGTATGGCCCACTGAAAATTAGGACAGATATTTGGCCAACAGAAATAGCACGGGGCTACACGTCAGTGTATGTGATGTCAACTAAGCTAAGACAACCTGTGCTTTGGAAGTCAGGTACGTTTTCTGCACATCATTTCAGTTTCTTTAAACTATACTGCCTTTACTGTGCTGATGTATCCTCAAGATGTGAAGTAGTATAGTCTCATTTTAAGAGTTTTAAAAGCTTTTTTCCAATCAATCATTCTCTTTGCCCTCTCTCCCACTTATATAAAGTAGCAGAATTCACTTTGAGAAACTACAACTTTCAGCTGCCAATGGAAATAATTAATAAAAAATGTCACTCTTACCTTTCAAAGTGCCTATCCCAGAGTCTCCTGATGGCTTTGTCTTTTAATCCCTCCAAGACAAAGAGATGAGAAGCTCCATCCAGTAGGTGATAGCCAGTAACAATATCTAATTCAGAAGCCTTCTCTAGTGTGCTTTTCAGTTTTAATGTATCAAGAGTCATTCTGATTACGTGTGGAGGATAACAGTCCAGCTGAAGGGCTTTAGCATTGATTTCTGTAATCTCTTCCACCAAATCACGTAATAAAGATGAATTACTGTAGTCAAAAATGTAAATTATACAACTGTATGGGCAATCTGCCACTTGAGCATCATCACTTTCTGCATGCATTCTCAATGGCACTGCTATTTCCACTCTCACTTTCAAAAGTGAGTCTGATTGTAGATAATGTCCCATAGGTAACAGAATCTGTGGATGCTTCTTCCTTATCTTCTTACTTTTATCCTCTTTATCGAAAGCAGATGTATTTGGAGTTGAACAGCTACGAATGGGTGCACTAATAGTCACGTACTTTTTACCCAACAATAGATCAGTTAGACTTACTTTAGCTACCCCATGTGGATGCCACGTTTCATTCTCTGTAGAAGAATTACATATTGTGGATTTGCAAGCAAGGGGCCTCACCTCTCCCAGATTTTCATCAGCTTGAGCCTCCCCAAATAAATATGGCTTTTTTTTGTTGTCTTCAATCCTTCTATCCCGATCATGAACTTCAATCTCCAAAGGTGGACCTCTAAGATACCTTTCTAACTCCCCAGGTTTCATTGTTCCTGTTAAAAATACATTAACATCCTTAAAGTAGACATGAGTTCCATGGATTCGTCCATGAGTCTGATGAGCTGGAAAATTGTGAAATTTGTATTTGCAATAGGTAGGAACACACAGTCTCTATTAAACAAAAAGAGAGAGAGAGAAACAGATAATTGAAGTGTTAATTTCTTCCCTCTTATTTTTCATATTACAGAATAATTGGCCTTTATTGTAGAAGGCAAAATGGGGATGTACTTTATAGTACAAACTATGTCTTTCAAGGCAACAAGGAGGCCATTCTACATGCCTGGATCCTGTGTTTCAGGAAGTTACTGTCCCCTTCATTTGTCTGTCCACAAATTTCCTGATTTTCCATACATATTTTAAAAAATAATCACACCTTTTCTTTCTAGATTATTAAAGAAGCATGCAGGGGACTGCAAAGACTCCTTGATATATATATATTTTTACTTTCGTGTATCTATAGGATTCAAGGCCTATAGGTAGTTATAAAGTTCAACAATTATCCAAAGATACCATAGGGAATGGACAGTATCAGCTCCATTAGTTAGTGGAGCTACTTAGCTAGACATTTGGGGCTAAATAGCAAGATCCATTCTGCAATACTTGTGATTCTTCTCTGCAATGTTCATCAGCATTAAGGCAACCAGCACAAAGAGGAAGCTGGCTGTCAAGGACTATCCTGACAATTCCTGGCTCTCAACAATGCATGATTTCACCACATTTAGCCAAGGAAACAAAATAAAAACTTCTGTGATCACTCTGAAGACTGCATTGGAAACTATGTAGTGTAATATTTTCCCTGTTATTTTTCATAACTGGTATATCAATTTGCCTAGTCTGCCACAACAGGCCTGCAACGTGAAACTCAAAGATACACAGTTCCTGACATTAATATTGAACTATTTTTATAAAAACAACAACAAAACAATCTAAAACTATAATTTTCACCTTTTTTAAAAGATTTAAAAGAAAAAAAAGTGAATGCTTTACAAGTTCAATACTACTTTCAACACAGAAGCTGTTCTGAATGAACCAATCAGGTACTGACTTGTCAGCAAATGGTTTCAAACGATACAGCACAATGACTGAACTAAATCAAGTTCCACTGCTCAAAAATAAAAATATGCTGATTACATGTAAATTATTGCCCTTGGAAAATGCAAGGACTGCAATTTTGTTGTCAGTGCCTACAATACAGAGGCACTACTCTGGAGACACCTCTCTCAGGAAATGCTAGCCAAATAGCGACAAGAAAACTTCTCTTTAAAACCATGCCCATATTGTAAGCAACATTACTTCACTGTAATAAAGAGAATTCCTTCAGAAAGCAGGAGTGGGATGCATTACCTGTAGCTCTTCTATTGGTATAGGTGTGTTTGGGAGGCTGGTAGCTGAATAAATCTTTATAACCAGTGGATTTAATTCATGCCTTTGTCTTTCAGACAGAAGAGGTGTTTCTACAGTGAAAGACACATAAGCATCTGAAAGAATAGGACTGTTTTCTTCCAGTCGACTGATCACTGAGTTTTCTCCTTTTAAAAACAAGATGAAATATTATTACAGAAGTTATCTCATCAAGGCATCAGTATTTGATTAAATTTAAAACCTCCACTGAATTTGTACTGAAATAAAATGAATAATAAATAAAATATGAATAAAATAATTGCTTCATATATTATTTACCTTTTGCAGTGGGGAAGAAAATAGTATCTAGAACAATGCCAGAAGTCTCATTTGGGCTAAGAGCTAAAAGCGTGCTGAAGTTTTCTGTCACTTTGAAGATGCAAATATACCATTCACATAAATATTAAAACAGTTTAGAGGCTTTTCATCACAATTGAAGTCTCTGTTAAAGGTACAGAAGCATATTTAAATGTTTCTGCATGTTAAATTTTGCTGTATGTACTCAGCAGCTGAGTTTCATCCTCTATGACATCTTGGCAATTCTGTCTATGAGCACAGAAAGATTTAAGTCACTACACACAAAAACAGGACAACGTGATGTTAATCTAGTTACAGTCAGAAAGCCTCAGAACGAATCCACTTTCTTCTGACCGACATCCTATTTCCAACACATTCTCAACAGATTAAAAAAAAACAACCAAAACTTGGAACTAAACAGCTCGTTTTCCACCAGGCAGACCCACCAGCACAGCTGCTTCAGACACACACAGTACATCTAACATCCTGCTCCCTCCCTGCCTCTTCCTTACAGAATAATACCTGAGAGGAGAGGCATGAGATCCAACTGCAGCAAAGCAATGTTTGCCCTAGTAGTACCCATGTCCTTTTTAGCACCAGGATCCTTTCTACCTGTTGATGGAAGGCAGGGTTAGACCAAGGAAGGAGGAAATGATTTAAAGTTTGCTATAGGCAGAACGCAGTGAGTTACGTGTCCTTAGAAAAAGATGTCAATTCTTCTTTCTAAAACCAACTAGCTAGTATTTCAATATGCTCAGAACTCCTCTGCACGGTTCACTGTATTTTAGTATATGAAATCTCAAAAAAAAAATTTACAGCAGTAGGCATTAAAAGTTAATGGAATTATCAAGATTAAAGTTGTATTTGCCATCTTACTATTCTTCCTTTTCACATATGTATTACGATGCATATGTGACAATTTTTATCAACATGTAATTTATTGTTTCCAGAAACCTCCATCTTTTAACTTTGTGCCCACAAAACAGGGGTACTGCCATTCCTCTAAATCCCAAGGATATCACCAAGACAAGCTAATCAATATCCACAGTTTACTCAGATGCTGAGTGATTATTCCCTACATTCCTTTCACCCACATTCAATCTTTACATAATCAATACCAGCAGAACTAGCCACAGCCTCCACTTACGTAACTCCTATCTTCAGACACTCTGCCCAACCACAAAATAGTTGTCAAGGAAGGACTTGGTTGACAATATTGATGCATTCACTCAATTTGAATGAACTACAACTGAATGTTAACATTCATGCTCAGTGATGCTTGTTGATAAGCAAATGTCCTTTTTATAAAGTGTATTGGGATAATGTGAGCAGGAACCCTGGGACACCATGCTAGTTTTTCAGTCAGACAAGCATGACATTCAACATGGGTGATTTAACATATATGGTAATGTTCATTGTTGCTGTGGTTATCACCTTTCATAGAACCTTAGTTAATCATAAGCTACAGATGAGAGAGCAAAATATTTGTCAGTAGAGATGTGTTTCTTCATTTAACAACATGAAGAAGCACTAGAAATAAATATGGACTATAAACCACAGATGAAAACCTGGCCTCTAGTGGCAACTGCAGCACAAGCAATGTGGAATAGCAAGCTTGGTAGTCTCACAGTTGTAACAGTTGTTTCAGCTACAACATTAATTTTTAAATGTTTTACAAAATTTATTATTGCACACTCATAGCCCTTGCAAATATCCATCATTTCACCACTGGAACACTTAAAGTGGTGGAAAAGGGCCATCAGCATCCCTGCTTTGTTCTACTGGCTAAGAAAACAAGAGATATAACTTGCTTCTGAAGAAACACGGAAAGCAAAGACTAAAATGCAGGTCTGGTAACACACACTTCTCTAATCTTGAATTCTTTTTAAAAAATAATACACAAACAGAACCCCTTATCTTTTAAAATCTAGCTTTCATAAGCCCTATGCCATAATTCCATCCAGAACTTACCATTCAAGGTAGCTGTCTTGTCTGTTTGACACATCAGAATTCCCACATTGTTGGCTGTTTTCTCAGTTTCTTCTGAAGTTGTATTATGCAAAGGAGCAGCAACTGCTTTCTGCTTCAGAAGTTGGGCCTTACCCTCAAATCTGTTTCTAGCAAATATGACACAAAAAAGCAATCAAAATTAAAACAGAATTACACGTGGTTTTAAAAGTAAATTAGAAGTTACATATATATCCACTAAAATAAAAATGATAAGGATGCTTCATTTGCATCAATAAAAGAAAATCACAGCAAAGGCCCTGGAAACTATCACAATACACAGCAACCTCCAGATGTTAGGAGTTGGTGAAGGAAATCATACTGTGGAGTTTGGGGAGATAGCATGGAATTTTTTGGTGGATTTGCTGGAAATCTCCCCACTGCACATTGCAAATGCATAGAAGATTGGATCATGATGATTGTACTTCCTTATGTATACTTTTGACATAAAGTGAGTGACAAGGGAAAACGACTCTTTAGAAAAGAAGACTCTTCTCCAGGCATTCAAAATATCAGCAAAACTTTGCCAATAATAAAACAGGTGAAATGTAACTTTCTGAATCTCAGATGTGTTTTTAGAGTAAGCACAGCTTCCTTGTCAGATAACTCCCTAGCCCTCCACAAGGAATGATCATAACAATAATAATTTTCCTTTGAACAATGAGGTAGAAAGAAATGTCATTCTTAATACAGATAGAATGAAAATGCTTAGGTGCTTGGAAGAGCGATAGTGACATAATAAAGTTCTCCATCATGAACAAAACTCGAGAAACACTTTGATTTTTTAAAACTGCTATAGCTTCTCAGGTCTTGAATCTTCAATTTCAGAAAGTTGTACATTGATTGTTAGAAATCTACCACTAAAATTCTTAAGGTAGTTGTTAGACAACAATGCTTTTGGTCCTGCCCTGTGATCAGCAGGCACTACTGCAAAAAGTGTTATGGCAACGGTCAGCCATCTCCAAAAGCAGAGTATAATTACAACAAGCTTAAAAGAAACATAGATACTAAAAAATATGCATCTTCAACTGTATTATTAGGACATGAACACTTCCCCATGGAAGTGTAGCACGCTTACCTTACTGTAAGGAAGTCATCTGCCTCTGAAGGATGTAGTACATTATAACTTGAAGTTCCTAGTTCTCTCTGATCAGTTTCTTCTGTGAAAGTAAAACAAATTCTAAATTTGTCTACTTTTGATGAGTCTCATAAGACCAAGAAAGTGCATCTGCAAAGCACACAAATGCAAGCTGATGTGTAACCCAGAACCACAATCTGTTTAACTTTCATCTTTGTGCCAAGGCTGAGTTTGAATAAGCTTAAAATATATAAAATAATTTGAGGGATTTTGACAGATCATGCAAGAACAAATATATGATAAGTCGAGCTTTATTGCCTAGAAAATCAAGTCCCACAGTAATTATCACTCAAAACAAAACTAGAAATTAAAAAGTAATTAAAATGAAGTGTATCCAAATAATATTTTGTTACCAGCAAATATCCTAACTGTACATTAGTAGGTACCGATAACATTATCTTAATGCACATCCATAAGAAATCATGCATTATTTTTCCTTATTCCAACAAATTATTCCAATAGCTATTCTAGCAAACCAGGGAGAAGAAAAAAAAAGCGACATGCCCAGTGTGCAGATCTCTTACACAATATATAGAAGTGCTCTGATACTTGATCAGTGCTTATATATGCCACAAGTATGGTATACTATAACTAACTGGCTTCAGATGTCATTTAATTACAGAAAAACAATTTACAGTCACAGACCTACGTGTTAATTACTCAACATTTAGCCTCACAATGTATCAGTCTTAATTACAGGATATATCTCCTACTCACAGAAAGATCAGAGCAAATCAACATGGTATGAATGACAAGAAAAATCTGCACTTAACTAGCTGAATAAGTGTCACACAATAAAGAATAAAATTTGCCACTATCACCAAGCAACGATGGATCAATGGAATATTAGGTTTTTACCTAGCTGTATGAACAGGACACTGAGAAATTATTACTACTCACCTGTTTCACAGAGCACAGTAATTGCACACCCAATAACACACATGATTTTTTTAAGGTCAATGAAAAAAACATTAGGAGACCCTCACAACACTGCTTTCTTTCTTAATGTAGACCAGGTGAGCACTGAGGGCAAACACTGGCATTTTTCCATTCACCTGAACTGGAAGCTATGTTCCCATCCTTTACCTCCTAGCGTACTGACCATCACACCTCATTTGGTCCATCAGTCCTCTCTCGACCTGTCACCAGATGGCACTACCACCAAAATGCAGATGCACTCTGCCGCCTCATTACACCGGCAATTTGTCTGCTCCTATTTCGATGACGCATGGCATGAATTGTTAAAAAAACTAAAAACAATTTTATAGACAAATCATATGAAACTGGTGACTCAGTGCTCCCCACAAGGACAGATGTAGTGTTGCAACAGATACTAAGGGTAGGAGGAAGCCATGAATCCGTGGTACCTCACTGCACTTCCCTTTAGAGAATTCTATCTAAATACTTGGCAAGTCCCAAGATTTCATCTATAAATCTAACAAAAACTGTAGGTGTAGCAAAGGGAGAGAAAGTAGTTTTATTGTTTAATGGTGAAAACAAACAGCTAAGTTAAAAGTACTTTGATACCACACACTTTTGGAGTTGACAGCAAAGCACTCTGCACAGTTCAACAGTGCCCAGGTGCAAAGAAATCTCAGGGGCAGCCCTCCAGTCAATGGACTCAGTAAGGCCCCAACACAGACAAGACCAGCAGTTTTTAACATGGGGCTACAAACAACACTGCCACTAGATGGAGAAGTTTTCCCCTTCTTGGCTTAACGAATGCTGCCGCAGCTGAACACCACATCACATTTTTTAACCTACTGCAGCTCTGCAGCAATTTCTCAGCTGGCACAAGGCAACACCATAAACTCCATAAAAATCAGGATCTCATCAACGTCAGGAATAGGATTTCATACTTCACCCTGCACCAGCAGTTCAAAGGAAACAAAACATCCTGTACTGGACTACAGATAGCTACCAACAACTGAGAGACAGTAAGAATGCAGAAATTTGTCCAGGCCAAAGTTCTAGACATTAATACACTCACCTCCAAACATGAGGCAGCAGCACAACTAAAAGACTATTTTCTAGTGTTCCTTAAAAACCTTCCATGAGCCAGCTAGAATTGAGGTACAAAAGAGATCTACATCAAAGCTATAAGAAAATTGCTCCAACTGTAATATCCTCAGCCTTCCTGCAGCACCTTGTTCCCTCAGTCCATGTTCCTGCTTGCTCATTACTCAAGTTGCCAGTTATGCTTTTTCTCTCCCATTCAGCCCACAAGCCAGTTCTAGTTGTCATATTATACCTTTGACTGGAAGGGCTGAAGACTTTTTCTGTGCCTTGGATTCCTTTGCTTCTCTAATTTTTGTACAGCTGGGTGCTGGCTGATTCCCTTCAAACAATTTTCTTTGCAGCAGTACTGTGTGTTTTACTCCACCTACCAGGAGAAGGAAATAAATAAATAAATAAATAAATAAACTGATTTTTCTGCTTGTTCTGTTTGGGCCACTCAAGTTTTGAGCAATTATTTTCCCATGGCATGTGGGAATGAAAAGCACCAGAATTACCTACAAGCCTGCTGAAGAATCTAGCATTAAGTGGTCTCCTCAACAATGCATACTTTAGGAAAACATTGGGGCAAGTGAGGCTTGTGAGAGCTCAAAGAATACTGGGCTTACCCACGAAGCAAACAGCCCTGACAGTGAAGTGAGTAGGACCTCTCCACACAGATGCCTGCAACAGTGCAGTTTCAGGAAGGAAAGCTTTTGGTCCCCCTGTTGCTAAGCTTTACAGCAGCTGTTCACAAGAGAAAGAACTACTGACAAATTTCCATTCCTCAACAACAGCTACTGAGATGCTCAGTCTATCTTACAAACACAAACAGATGCAAAGCTCAGTTCTTCACAAAGCCCACCGTGTCTGAGCAAATACTTATTAATATTAGTTCAATCAAAAAGAAACCCAAGCCATACTAATTGGCATTTGAGATCGTGTAGCATCACCCAATAACTATCCATTAATACATAGAGAGAAAACAGTTACAGTATTCTACTGATAAAATTAACTGTACTATTCAAATGTGCTTAATTTAACAGTAGTTCCATATCTGCTGAATGAAGGATACCCTATTTCCTGTGCACTTCATCTCATGGTTGCCTCTCTGGTATGTATTTTTTCATACATGTCCGTAAGAGCTCTAACAAGGTCTCTGTCCTCTAATTAAATTAATTCAACTAGTAAATCAACTAGTAAAAATTAGCAGAGTTGCACAACAGAAAGATGTTTTTGACACCTCTGACCTTCAACTCAGCATAGCCAGAACTTAGCCATAGACTGAAGTTACAAAGTTGTGGGAAGTAACAAGAGGAAGAGATGAAACAAAGATGCACAGCATAAAAACACAGCTGTACAAGTTCCACATCTTCTCAGGACAAAAAGAAAAACAAAGTGAGCATATTCACTACTACTATTAGCATCCAATGGCCTAAAATAGCTCCTCAATTCACCCAGGTTCAGATGACAGTCCCAGTTACATTTCTCTACCTTAAGAATTTTCAGAAACTAAAGCCTTCAGAGTACAAACAGCTAGAATTATTTTAATGGCAATGACAGGCAAGTATCAGATAATCTCATCAGTAACTTCGTAACAGGTGTAGTCACAGCTTCAAGACACATTTGATAACATACCTATTTGCATTAGACTTACCAACTGACTCTGCATCTCTTTCTGTTGAGGAAGCATCTGGTTTACTAAGCCTTGCTTCTGAGAAAACCTTGTCCTTGGTGTCCCAAAGTTTTAAGGTTATTTTATGATCTCTTAATTTTATTAGAAATTCATTAGTGACATTGACATTTGTATTATGGTTCCACGAGATCCACATCTGGTCATTTTCAAGCCATGGCACAATAGTCTATTAAAACAAAGATGAACTCCAATAAAGGCTTTCATCAGAATAGAAGTGGTTAAATTCACATGCTGACCACCATCACTACTACTCTCAAAGCGTGCCTTTCTTATGTCTCCAAATCATGCTACATCTTACATGAACCCCCTTGTTGTGTCAGCACACTTTGCTGGATTCAGACAAGCCATTCTTATCAAGCCAATGTCTGACATGAAGACCAGCAATTAAGCTATTGTTCAGCAAGATGCTGAGCACCAATAGCATAATGGAATACTACAAAAGCTAAAACAGACACTTTAAAAAAAACAAGTATTAACAAAGGAAAACATGAGCACTACACTAAACAGCAATTCCTATGTCTCTTTTACAAGTCATTCATCTTTCAGCAACACTAGCTACATAGTTAACATAACTGTACTATGAATGGTAAGACTATGCGTGCATCTAACAACCTGTACATTATACAGATTGTTCACATCCTATTCTTGTGGTATAGACAGGCTACAGACTAAGCTCATTTACACTGTAGCCTACCCACTCTATTGTTTGGCTTGTTACATAAGCATGCTTACATGCTACATACTTAAAAGTCAGGTACAGTTGGCAAGGGAAAGATGTGACCATGTTACCTATCATAACTTCAGTACTAGGAATGGTACAGAATTCTTAGGTTGTTCTCTTTGCTGATCAGTGAGAGGCAAGGGAGAAGAAAGACTGGGTAGTCAAAAGTACAAGAGATTTTGAACAGCAAATACTTTTATTTTTATTTAATTGTTTCACTGTTTCCTACAGGGTATTACTGAACTTGCTCCAGAAAATTGTTCTACAAAACTGTGCCTTTGCATTAAAAGTTCTGTGAATAAAAAAAAAAATTATCTGGGCTTACTTTAAGTTCAGTCTTCTCTTCTTATGTAACTTGAGGCATAATTATAGCTCTATATGAATTAACTGACTAATACTAAAAGAAACTGCATGTAATAGTGAATGAACAGAACCACCAGTTCTGAATTCTTCCTACTTGCAGGATTTTCACCAAAAAGTGAAAATATGGTAAAAGACAGCTATAATTTTGTTACTTAGTATTAACAAGAACAATGCAACAAGCTTTCAAATGAATAATCGGTCACTGTAACTTAGGTAAACAGAATTAACTCGAATCACATAAGCTATCTTTACTAGGATTATCCAGATACAGGCTGAGAATGATACACAGTACTTTAAAAGCAACAGTCTCCCACTTCTTTCAGATTATTTCTAAAAAGTCAGTGCTAAAATCATTTCTCAACAAACTAAGGTGAATTCAGAACAACACATCCAACATTTACGTTGATGGATTTGAACACAAAGGGTTTATCCAGATGTGTCTAAACAAGACATCTGCAACATTCTTCAAGTATCTTCAAAAAAAAAAAAAAAAAAAATCATCTTCCTCTCAACAAAGATCAGAAGCATAATTCCCATTCTTTCCCCATCTTTTAATGGAATGTGCACTTGCTTTCAAATTATTACCTTTGAAGTACAAACATACAATTCCAATAATCTACACAAATGTAATTTTATAATTAATATGATAAAAACACTCTAAAAGACAACAACCTCTGATTACAAACCTGGTGATGTAGATTAGGAGCATACATTTCTAATCCTCAATACTTATTTCCAAATCTATGTGTGCAAGTAGGGGCTAAGCAGTTGTTGGAACATACAACTAGAACAATTCGCTCTGGAAAACATCCTCCTGCACCCCATGCATGATGTGTGGGATTACCCAGTCTTACCATATCCCCTTACCTTGGAATCAGACTCTGCAAATAGCTTTGCTACCGTCCCAAACACCATCAAATCCATTTTTCTAGGCACGAGATCATCTGGTAAAAGGAAGTATTCAATGTGATAGCAACGCTTCGTTCTTAGTTCATCAGTTGGAGCTCCCTTTCCTCGCCTATTAGGAGGACTGGTTGTCATCTGCTTTTGCTCTGGAGAAAATATGAGAATCATCTGAAAGTGTCAAGTGTGATCAAACATGATAGTTTCATGGGAAACACTGTGCATTGATTAAATGGCAACAGGAGTTAAAAAGTGACAACAGAAAAATGATGACCACAGCTGCAGAACACGAAACCCTTATCCCAGAGCTCAATCAACCACGCAGCCCTTATTCGGGTTTAACTGCCATAAGGGCCCACAAAATGCCAGGAACTGCTCCTTCCACCCACTCTTCCTGAAGCATAACCCCATGCCTGCAGCTCCCAAAGCACATGCGTCCTGCCACCCAGACAACAGGCATAAAGCAGAGCTGCCCAGAGGAAAAACCCAAAACCTCCATGCTGCAGGAGATCCATGCCTCATCTGAAAAGCTGCTCCCTTCAGCTAACATGACACTCCTACCCTTAACTACCTAAACTGAGCACGTGTCAAAAACATCTTTATTTTCACCATTAGACAGTGACTGATAAATAACAGCTAACACTTGAGTAACAGGCTGCTGAGACATTTTCAGGCACCGGTTGCAATGATCCCAGATCACACAGTCTCCTTAACAACCTACCCAGAAAATTCCAAGTCAGCTAGCACCTTTTCTAACACTACCTCCTTAAACCACTGAAGACGAGTTTATAAAGCAATAAATAAAGGGTTCACTGGGCCAAGTACTTACTGGCGGCCAAGGCAGGGATAGCGAGCGATACGGTGAGCACACACGGCACGTGGCGGGTGCCGCTGGGCTGCCTCGCGCCTCCCGCAGGGCTGCTGCCCCGCTCCGAGCTCGCGCAGCTGCTCCCAGCGCTCAGCTCCGCCAACTCCTCTCCACCGCCCTCCTCCATCTCCTCCTCACCCGCTAACTTCTCTAATCCTTACGCTCCTGCTCCGCCGTTGCGCGGCCAGGCAGCCGGTTCACAGCGGGCAGCCCGCAGCCCTCGCCCCCTCGTCCTGCCGGCACCTGCCCGCGAGCCGCCCCCCGCTGAGGGCGGAGGAGGACGGGCGGCGCGCTTCGGCCGTCGCCTCGTTACCGAGGCTTGGATCCGAGCGGCGCTTCGTCGCCAGGAGCCGCCCCGCCTTGCCTGCCGAACGGCCGGGTCTGCTTCGCAGAGCTCCGCTCCACCGCGCTCAGCCCCGGGCGATCGCTGCTGTTTGCAGCGCGAGGTGTGAGAGCAGCCGCTGGCGTTAGCAGATCACTAAGACGCGTGTTTGCTTCCTGCTAATGTGAGGAGCGTAACCATCGCACGGGCTCTGAAATACGGACAAACCTGAGAGATACGATTAGAGATGTATTTATCCCCGTGTTACTGTCGCAGGAAAAGCAGGGCGAGCTCTGATGCAGGAACCCAGCAGGCGAGGTTTGGCGCTGAACTGCTCTCAGCTCGCCCACAGCACAGCACAGCCAACCAACCCCCAGGTGTTGTTCAGAGCAGCAAAACCACTATGGGTCAGCTCAACAGTTACAAACCAACTCCAAACTGGACATCTGGGCTTCCTCCACAAACCACAACGCCCCGTTTTTGAGATGGGCTGCTCAATGTTTAAGGTCATTTGGCAGTATTTCATACAAACAAGGCAAAAAAAAAAGCACAAACAAACAGGAAGCAATTCAACTCACAGATCCCTGTTCTGTGTTTTTCCACACAACCACATCCCACACCTGATTGTTGAGCTGATGTCTGAGAAGCAGCAGCAGGGCAGAAACTAAAATGCTAAGGCAATAAACATAATTGTAATGGAACACCTTCCTAACAGACAAGATCTTCAATGTTTTGGGGAGCATTCCATGGGAAACAAAGAGTGCGTGGATTACTGTACACCATTCCTGTACCTGCCACTGCCTCCACACACGGGTCTTTGCCAATCTCTTTCAGACAGATCCAACAGCAGCACCTGATTTTTTCATACAGAACTGAAAATAACAAAAGACACACCCACAAAAAAGAACTATACTGCAATGGAAAGCACATCAACAATAGTGGCATAGCAAAGTCCTAAGAAACAACAAGCAAAGATAAGCCCAAATGCAACAGCCAGAGAAACAAAGAAAAGAATCTGCTTACCTTTAGAAGGCCACAGGTAGGTAGGAATGTCAAGTGAGATACTTCTTGCCTCTTGCCTCCACTGCCAACCCTTAAATGAGGAAGAGGTGGATCCTGGCTCACCCCTCCTGGTCACTCAGGTGCATTGCATTGTATGCACCTGAGCTCCCCTGGATTAGCCCTGCCTTCCCATCAGGGGCTCCATCACTGTTTCATGCTGTGACTTCGCTTTTCTGCTACAGGATCCAACTCTTAAAATAAGTTTGGTCCTCCTTTCACACCTATTCTAGATCAAAGCCCAATTCCTAGATACCAGCCTTCCATTCCAGTCCTCAGAGCCATTTTGCAGCCGTTTTAGGAGGAAAATACTTTTCTGAGGTAATTTAGATACATACTCTGAACAGGACTCACAACCTCGTGGCAGAGGCTCAGATCACGTCTCTATTACCTGCAGCCTCCATGAGAACTGCAGACCGACTCACTAGCTGCAGGAGCACAAAGCCAGCAGTGCTTCAGCACCGTGAGCGATGCTCTGGTCTCAGTCATGCTATAGGAAATTATTGTGATTTTCCCCCTCCATTTACTCTGAAATAAAATAGAACCATCTCATGAATACCACTGAATAAAAGTTGAAAGCAGCAGACTTCTTTTTCTTTAATTAATGTAGAAGATCCTTAAAACTGCTCCAGATGCTGAATAGCTAAGAAATGTCAAACAACACATCTGGTTGTTCAGAGAGCTGCAGCTGTTTCCTCTGTAGACTACGTAATGTTGTTTCTTCCTCCAAGTGAATTACAGCAAGAGAATGACCAGAATGTAATTAGCAATGGTATTATCTCAGGACAAAAAACAAACTGCAGGTACCTAAGATCTTTCATTAACCTCAGTGGTTTCCAATGAGCTCCACACAAGAGTCTTCAAACTTCCGTTCTTCCCCATTTGTTGTATATACAGTTTTCTTATGTCCAGAAGCTCACTGAGGTTCCCTAAATTAGTGACACTCCTTCCTGTTTCCATGTAGCTGAACATACAGAACACGTTATTACACAGGTTAGAGTTACTCACACTTGTATTAAATGAAAAAAATCTGCAAGCAGGAACAGACTTACATGACAGATAGGGACATTCCATTACGTTTCCCTTCTTTCTCTTACTGTGTTGTGCACACAGGGCTGTTCCAAATACACTGCAAAACAAAAGAGATGACAACGCCTAAGATTTTAGGAATTAGAAGAAATTGAAAGAACATGCCAAGAACAACATCACATCACTAATATTATTTTAGCTCATCTCTGAAGTTCCTTGTAAAAACAACTGTTTCATAAGCACCAAACAATTAAAAAATGATCTGTAGCATCACAGTATGACTTTGTTAGAATAGGTCAGAAAAAGCACTAAATTTTCACTTTTCTTCTTGTCAGGAGGAACTCTGGACAACAGAAAATAATTTTTACAGTAATGAAGAGATTTTTGCTGCAAGATGAGTGCCTTTCATGGCCAAACAGTTCTGGCTGTGTGCAGCACGACTCAATGACAGCCCACACAAGTGCTGGGCTTACTGATACCCTGGGGCATGAGACACAAAAGCAAACTGAGCTGATCCTTGGCCCCACCGCATATATAAACTGTGAAATGAAGCATGAGCACAGTTAAATTAAGTGCAAAACATTTTACTCTGTAAACACAGTTTATATGCCTTTCCTAATCCCACTGTTACCTCATACAATTTAAAACAGCTTTTCATCAATGATGTCGGCAGACTTAAATCTGATTGTGGCACCTATAAATCTCTTAAAGTAAAAATCTCCAGTTAATTAATTCCAAACACAGTGTTTTAATATACTTCTAATTTTCAGCTACTATCACAACGCTGCAGAAACAGTCACTCCACCCAAACCATGCTTTGCCATCAGCTCTTATCTGCAGTTAGGACTCTTTTCACATCCTATCATGCTGAAGTGCGCAATCAGAACTAGAAACAGAAAGTCCTTGAGCACTGGGTAAAATGTTGACATCAGGGCAAGTTCAGAGAATAAGCGGGGGATCAAGCAAACCTTGCCAGGCTTGGGTAAAACCTGAGTCTTGATGAAGTCAGCAGCAAATACAGCAGTTGTCATTACACTTAGAGTAAGCTTTTCTGTATGACTGGTATCAGTAATGGTGCACTGGAAAAAAGGCTGTGTAGGAATTCATGCTGTTGTTTTATGTTGTAGTTGGTTTTTTTTGTTGTTCATTTGTTTTGTTTTGTTTTCTTGTTGCTGTTGTTTACTGGTTTGCTTATTTGCTTTAAAAAAGTTGCAAAAAGAAAGTTCAGTTCTACTGAATCCAAACCCCTGGTTACAGGAAGGGCATTTCTCTGGCCCAGCTGCCTAGTGTTTAAATCATTGCCTTTGACTGTTGGTTTTTTCTTTTCAAAAACATGATGCAAAACAAAAATGTCCAGCATCAGATCTTTTCTTGAAAAAGCAAATAGGATACAAAGACCAAATGCTTGGGGTTTTTTGCTATTATCTAATATCTGCTTGCTTTCAGAGGTGAAACTCTGTTGGCATCATTCTAACAAGCTCATTTTGCTGATGCAGTGGTAAAACAGAAAGCCAAAGATTCATTGTGCCATTTACACCCTTCGTTCTTTTAAAACAGAAGAATAGCAGATGGGCAATGGGAAATTCAATTAAGGCCCAAATGTTCCCCAGTGTTGCTAACAATGCCTCTCCTCTACCCAGAGATACCACCAAGAAACCCAACTGGAAACTGGTGCTGAAGGAAAATTTATGCTGACATGTTTATAGCTTTGCAGAGAGTCTGTCAGACTTTAAAGCAATTATTTCAACCTGATAAATATTTTTACAATTGAAACTAGCTAGGCCAAAACAAGCTTAAATTACGGCATTGTCTTGCTCCAGGGCCTTTATGCTTTAGGTGGTGTTTGGGATCAGCCCATTTGTTGTGTATGGATAACAGATGTGGATTTACATAATATCTGCTAAAAGCATTCACAGTTTACGTTCTGTCTTTCCTGTCTCTTTCTTTCCAGCACTGAACATTTGGTGGACCTTAAATAGTGATAAAATAGTTATCAAACTAAGAAAAAGCTTTCAGGTATACATATCTATGCTACTGAAAATGAATATATACGTATATGTTAAACATGAAAAAACTTATCAGTTCATCCAGTCATTCCTCACGCCAATCAAAAACCTAAGTTACTAATCATATATCAATTCCAACAAGGGGACAATATTTTTGTATCTTTAAAGATACAAGAATACCCAGAACAAAAACAAACAAACAAGACCAGAAGTAAATCCATAAACTGAACATTAGATTCCTAATTACTGTAAAATCAAAGGCCACACTACTGTTTTGAATCATAAACACACAGAAGATCATTGGTGGATAGAACTCAGCCCTTGGACACAGGAAGCCTGATTCTGTGGAACACTGACTTCCCTGGGAGGAACTCTGGGTCTTGCAACATAAAAACCAGGAGGAGATCTTCATAGAAACAGCTTTGTATGCTGCCAGTCTACCAAGTTAAATGATGAAAAATAGGATCTTTTGTAGAGGACAGTTAACAGACTTTCTTGTAAAAGATGCTTTTTCTCGATTGTTCAGTCCGTGGAAGTGGATCACTGTTCTCATCCAACGGCGGGACGTGCAAGCAGTTTCAGAGCTCCCAGGGCACGGGCGGGGCGGGGCGGGGCGGGGCGCAGCCGCCGCAGCTGCCGGCGGGGCCGCGGCCGGGCAGGATGGTCGGCGGGCGCGATGGAGCCGCCTGAGGGCTGGGACCCGTACGGGCGGCCGGCCCGGCGCACGCAGTGGCTGGTCAGCGCCCTGGCTTACCACTACGGGCTGGACCGCGGCGTGGAGAACGAGATCGTCGTGCTGGCCACCGGGCTGGACCAGTACCTGCAGGAGATCTTCCACCACCTGGACTGCGCCGGGGAGGGCAGGATCCCCGGCGAGGACTTCCGCACGCTGTGCCAGGTGCTGGGGCTGGAGGAGGCGGCGGAGGCGGCGGCCGACCCCGAGGAGTGCGCGGCGCTGTGGGACGGCCTGTCGGCCGAGCTCACCTTCCGCCAGTTCCACGCGCGGCTGTGCGGCTACTTCAGCACCAAGGCGGGCAGCGCCGTGCCGCGCCTGCCGCTGGGCCGCGAGAGCGAGCACATCGAGACGCAGATCCGCCTGCGCAGCCCCCGCCGCCGCCGCCGGCGGGACGCGGCCGGGCCGGGCTCGGGGCGGCGCGGCGGGGAGGCGGCGGAGCGGCGGGCGGCCGGGCCGTGCTCGCCGGAGTGCTACGAGGAGATCGTGGCTCTGGAGCGGGCCGAGGACCGCATCGCCAAACTGGAGGAGGAGAACGGCAGCCTGCGGGAGCTGGTGGAGGACATGCGGGCCGCCCTGCAGAGCAGCGACGCGCGCTGCCTGGCGCTGCAGGTGAGGGTGCGAAGCCCTGCGGCGGCCCCGGGCTGCTGCCGCCCCGGCGACTCGGAGCGAAGCTTCGTTTGCGCTCCCCCTTGGCTTTTCGGGCAGAAATGCTGTAGGCTCACAAGCTGTGGCAGCGTTACACATAGGCGACGCTCTGCAAACCGTCGTGCTAAAATTGCAGACGGGTTTAACGAAGCTGTATGCATAATGCTGCTTTTTCCAGTCGCGCAGCAGCCAGCCAGCTCAATAACATTTACACATCGCTGTTTTATAACTCATAGAAGCAGCTTTGGGAGCTTTATACCTGCATAAGCAGTTACTTGTTCATAAATGCTTGAACTCGGAAACATTAGAAGTGTATTTTCTTCAGAGCATGGACATCAGAGCCCAGGGCTGGAACCAGTTCTGCTGGGGACTGATGAACAGCCCCTGGCTCCTGTGCAGTGCCCCAGAAGTTGTGGCCTGTTCCTGCTGTACTGGCTTGAGTGAAACGAGCAAATACTTAACAGCAGTTAAATTACTCTGGCGTGAAATAGCACAGAATAGACAGAGCACTCAAGGGCTGTTTCCCATTCCTGGTGACTCAAATCAGGATGGATTTAATACTATCACAGCAGCCATGGAATGCTGCTCATATCTGCCACTTGGCATTAGCTGGCTGGCCACCTTCATAGCGTCCAGTACAGAGGCAAAGGATAGTTTTACTGTTTTCAAATGGGAAGTCAGAGGCAGACATGAATCATAGAATCGTGGAATAATTTGAGCTGGAAGGGACCTTCTTTAAAGGTCATGTAGTTCAACTGCCCTGCAATGCACAGGGACACAAATGAAGTCACTAGTCAGAGGTCCCAGGAGGAATCAGGAGCACAAAGGTGAGAGAGAGCTCCAGAACCACTAGCTGCTCTTGGTCTGCTTCTGCTGAGCACAGCTTTAAAAAAAAATAAAAAAAAAATCAGAAACTTTTTTCCAGAATACTTGCCTTTTGAGCACACACCAACATGGTGACATTAAAGCTACATAGAAACTGCTGCAAAAAATAATTTTCCTCTTGCATCATTCAAAAATTAAATTTGTAGATACATATTTTAAATCTTTCTTCCAGAGATTGTTTCCTTGTCTCTGCATTGTGCAAAGATAGGCAGTTTGTTACTCACTGATCACCTATATGTTATTGAAGAAAACAAACAAAAACCAATCAAGCCATTTTCAGTCTTGATTAAAATGGCAGTTGTTTTAAAATACATAAATTTGTCCCTGTTTTATGCTTCTGTTCAACATAGGTAGGACTGCGGAAAAGCCACGCTAACCATAAGGAAGAGGGAACCTGTTTTATAGGGAGTAAGAAACTGTTAACACAGAACCACTCCCAGACCAAGTGCCTTCAGAGTGTCCTGAAAGAAGTAGAACTCATCCGGAGCTCCAGGGATGGGCAAATCGAAGAAGCAATTAGATTCAATCAAGAACTAGAACGAGAGCTGAAGAGCTCTCAGGAAGCACTGGTCAGTCTGGAAGACTGCAACCGTAACCTGAAGAGGGAACAAGCAGAAATGAGGAAAAAGGTGGAAGAGGCGAGACAGGCAGTCCGTAACAGTCTTGGCAAAGTGAAGGAGCTAGAAGTGAAAGCTAACGAAGTGCCACGTTTGCAAGTTTACATTCAGCAGCTAGAATCTGAACTGCAGCACTATAGGTAAGTTTGAGTCTATCAAAAAAGTGGCTATATATTCACAGTATGTAAACACAATTTAACTTGAAAATCACTGCTTCTAACTTAATGAATCCTCAAATACATCTTCTAAAATACAGGCAGAGGGAAATTAGGAGCTACTTAGCAAGGTAGGAATCTGAAAGTGAACCCAGAACATCATTAGAAAGCCAAAATATGTCTGCTGATCTATGGAGAGCTGAAGTTACTCCTCACACACAGGGCTCTAGCTCTCAATGGTCATACTCAAGAAAACATCAAAAGCAATTCTTAACAGTCTTTCAGTCTGTTTCTAAAACACTTGATTTTTCACCTTCACTAACTAGAATAAATTCAGTAATTTCCTGCTGGCTGTTACACATACAAATCCAGCTGTAATCAGCTTGCTGATGCTCCGCTTACTACTAAAGCTTTTCAGCTTGTCACACGAATTGGAGAAAAATACACAAGGCCAACCTCTGGCCATTAAATTCTGTCAGTGAAAAGGTGATGAAGTTACAGCAGAATCTGGAATACTCAAGAAGGAAGAAGTTAAAACACTTCCATTAAAACCACATTATAAAACAGTGAGAATCTCAAACAAAAAATACATCATCTAACTAGAAACCAGTTTTTGATAGCATAAATAAATGTTTCCAAAACTAAGAAAGTTGGTCATAAACTTAATGGTACACTGGTTTTGTTGCTTCTTATCTCAGATAAAACCTGGTTAGTTAAAACTTGGATGGTTTTTTGTTGCTAGCCAGGTAATTCAGCCTGAGCTTCAAATGACCTGTTGAATGAAATGTTTATATTTTTATTGATCTGAAGTAAAGCTAATGCTAGTACTAAGAGTACTAAAACTAGCATTATCATATGTTATCTATTCTGAACTCCTTGTCTCTTCCTAAACTGATACTTCCTCTGTTTGCTTGTGAGAAGAGTTCATAGTGAGTTATTTGTAGCATCATAGCTATTGTGCTGCCTTATGAAGTAAGGAAATTCTAAAAATAATGATTTTATCCGGTGTCTATAAGCATTGTGTACATTAATATCTCTGTGTTTGCGGAAGATAAAAACATTTATTTTAAAGTCTATAGGATTTTAAAAACACCACTGGGTCACGTAATGTCCAGATGACTGTCATTTACAGGAATGTTTGGATGAATGAACCCTTGCTTCTGAAGTAGATGACACTACTTTCTAATCTATCAAGTTCTCCCTGGCATGAGCAGAACAGACTTAAGATGAGTTCTTGTGCTGCAGAATTAATTCTCCAAAGTACGATGAATCATTAAAAATCACCATCAAATAGATGGAGATGAACTACTTAAGGAAAGTAAGAAACTCTAACTGGGACTTGCAGAGCTGGAACTTCTATGGGTTACATCAAAACAAATAGTGGGAGTTACAAAATCCAAATTATATCTTCTTTGTAAGATATTTTCATCTCTAGTAATTTATTTTAAAATTGCATGCTAATTTAAGGTGAATATAAGGTTCAGGAAAGATGCTGGACTGACCATGCAGCTTATTGACCCTAGGACCAGGGCAGCATCCACATGCAAGACCTTTTAGTGGGTCTTGATTCCATGTTAGCCATCAAGCATTTTCATCTCTATGTAATATAGCTCTTGGCATAAACAGCCTAACACTTAATGATGGTTATGACTTCCATGCCTGTGGTCACAGTCTACAATATGTGGAATGCTGCAGATCCACATATTCCATACAGTGGTATAGAGATGCCCAAAGAACTAGAAAAACAGTAAATAAAGCAATGCAGAGCTCTGTCTTACTGTGATGATAGAGCTTAACACCAGCGTGTTGTCTACCCTATGCAGTCATTGACATCATAGCTTTTCCCACTCAATTTACTTGCTTGCAGGTGTGGTGCAGATGTCAGAAACTAATTTTGCTCACAGAAACCAATATTCTGTTGTGCAGAAACCCAAAACCCTTGGGCATAGCTTAGTAGAGATGCAAGGAAGCTTATGCTGAGGGAAAGACAATAAGTTGGCCAAAGCGTGGAGATGGAGAAACAGCTGCTATATCCTACAGGTTTCTCAGACCATACAGTTGATTGTAATTTCATTGAAATTGGTAGGTATTTAAGTGTGTTACTACTCCAGTGGGCAGTTCTCTGTGTCCACGTGCCACAAAGTTTGTAAGCATATGAGCAGGATCTAGGTTTGGCAAGAGCTAATGCTGCAGGGTAGTAGCAGAGAGAAGTGAGTGGGGATTTAGTATACTACAGAAAGCATTAAGGCTGCAGATTTGTCTCCTGAGAATTTACCTCAACTGGCTTCGTATGACCACTATTTTAGCTCAGGAAAAGTCCAATTTCCTTCAGAGAGGACCATATTCAATAATGAGACTAGTCTTTGAGTTTCTTCTGCTCTCCTCTTTATACTTTAATATTTCCAAGGTAAAGAAGAAAATGATTTCTTCTTTAGGTTCCAGTTTTCAAAGCTCTGTAAGTGCCTAGATCCTGCATCTATAGCTTCACTTTAGATTATCTGGCCATCAGTTAGTCCTGGAATCACAATGACCTGAAATTATAAACCCTAAAAGCATTTAAGTACCTGCAAGTGATTAAATATTTTTCTGACTTGGAGTACCTACAAACAATCACCTTTTCTGCCCAGAGATTCACGTGTCTGTAGATCGCATGACAAAAGTTTCTATCAAGGTCTGTTAAATATTTGCTAACTGATGGCTGTATGAATTAAAAACAAGTTGGTCATTTTACAGTTTGCTGCATCAGGGTTTGAAATTTCCCAGTCACGTTGCTAGATTCCTGAACCAACGTAGACCAAAGACTTTCCTTACCCTAAGATGCACACTGTATTCTTCCATGCATGTGTCAGGTTTTAGTCCCCTGTTTTCTCCACTGTTAGAAATTTCTATTAATCTTTAATTATTGTTTAATCCCTACCAATTTAATGAGTCAGCTGAGACAATTCAAAGGTAAATTTTGAGAAAATTCCTTGCTGAAAAGCATGAGTTAAATTCATTTTAGAGCACAAAGACATGTCACAAGAAATTGTATGTCTTATCATGTGGTACTGTAATAAAAATATGTAATTTATTACATCAGTATACAGGAAAGTTTAAGAGATTATGCAGGCTACATATTTATGCTGGTCTTCACAGAATCCTATTTTGAACTGGTACACTTGATTCCATTTTCCTAGGTATAAGGCTTGTCATTTGTTATTACTGAAACTCAGCTTCCAGAATGCTGCCATTCCCTCCCAGTTTGGTGTCAGTTGTATATTTGCAAGTTGGAAGGATGAAAGAACATACTGAATGTGGTGCCAGGACAGGCTCTGGCTACCTCTGCTTGATTGATTCTCTTAATCTGAGTGCAAATCACCAACAGCTATTCCTTGAAATCTTTTTTTTTCCCCACAGTAAATTTTATTCCAGCTCAAGGTGACACCACCCATATATTCTGATAGTCCTATGGTGCATACCATAGGAATGTCACACAAAAATGCTAGCTACTACTCCTAGTTTTCCATTCAGCCATTTCCCCTGTCAGAGAAGGAAATAAGATTGGTATGACATGAATTGTTCTTGCCAGATACAAATTGGCTCTGTTTTCTATACGACATTGTAGGTGGCTGAAAAATTGATCACTTAATAAAATTTACCATTTTTTTCTCCTTAATAGCATTGGAGGGAATAATAGGATTTAACAGCCTTCTTTTTTTTTTTTTTTTTCATCCTAGTGTAAGAAGTAAAAGGAAGGGTCATTTTGGATTTACACAGACTTCATAATGGAGATGTTCACAGAAGTTTTATGTTGCTGTGCTAGCCAGCAGGACAGTAATTACATAGGTCAGTGAAAGGGGCCATAAAATACCAAAAATGCTTCCCATATGCATGGTCTGTCTCCCAAATTACTTAATTATCCATCAGCATTTCTATGTGTTAATGAGTAGGAATATTTTTTACTTGGAATGCAGTGTGGCTTGTTTCTTTTCCTCCCTGTCTCTTATAAACGTGAAGATGGAGGCCTCTATAGCATCATCTCCCTCATCTTCCTCTCTAACGAAGTTGTCAGTGTTAATCTTTCTAAATAGTTACACTTTATATTATCCCTATAACAGAAGTCGTTCAATTTTTTCTTGTCTTTTAGCAGACAGTGTCCTGATATTTTCTCTAAGTTCCCTGATTATCCTTATCTCTAAACATAGCAAGATGGACCAAACAGACCCAAATCAATAATCCAAGAAAAAGAAAGGAATATGGAAATATTCCTAACCAGTACAGAATCAGTTCTCTTAATTGAACAAAGAAAAGATCTAGGAAGGAAACCCTATCCATAAAATAAGGTGTAAATAGTAGGTTATGTCCAGTCTGAATGATAATGTACATTTTACAGTTAGCCATTCTGTTCTTTTATTTAGAAAATTAGACCTTGAATAAAAAGAATCTGGACAACTTTCTACTTGAGTAGTGTCATCAATATCAGCTACTTGCTGATTGTAAGCTGATGTGCATTTTGGGAGTTTATCAGATGGCTCAATTTAAATGGAGCCTGTGAGTGTATACTTGCTGGACTACACAAAAGACTGCATAGAACCACAACTGATAAGTACATCCTTGGACTAGAGCGGTGACAGTCAGGGAACAATGGTGACAGTCAGTAAGAACAATGACAGGAAGCTGAACTCATGAAGATCAGAGACATTAAACAAGCTTTCTTTATAGAGTCCTCATCTCTAAGAACATTCAGACTTCATATGAACTCATGATATTTTACTTTCTAATTTTGCTTATATCTAATATTTTCTTCTACCTAAGACTGTGAGAAGTTATATATTAAATAGAAGTCTGCCAAAAATGTCAGAATTTCCAACGTTTTTCAAGAAGTTAACAGTAGCAGTTTAAGACGTTCCCATCATATGAGCCTTAGGCTATTTGCATGTCTCTAGCAACAGGGGAATCATAAGCTAAACAATCAAATCAGATCACTACTCTCATTAGGAACAACT